TTAGAATTTAGTGTCTCATGCTGAAATGAACAACCGAAAAAACACATTAGGATCATGTGAGCCCCACATCTGTCTCGCTGGATGCATACTATTACTTGGTGGTGGTTATGGGCCTTCTGGCGGTGGTAATGGTGGTTGTTTTGATATTGTGAAATGGAACTCACGATGATGGAGGTGGAAACAGGAGGCAGTAGACGAAGTTTCCCCTCCTTCAATCCTAGCGACGGGCATTGGATGGGGAAACCACCATGAACGGCGGTGGTGCAACACCTATCGAGGCTTATTCCAACCAATCAACTCAGCCACCCCTTAAATTAACATCAGAAACGGGCTCCTTACCAAATTGCAAGTCGGATGGTGTGATCACTGTTAAATTTTGGCAAGCTTGATTTTTCGGCCACCGTGTACGGCGGTCCTGTGACCGGCTCGTGACTCTCCGGCAAGGACCTAAGAAACAGAATTTTGTCCTCTTCGTGATGATCATGGTTCTACAATCCGAATTTAATTTGGTGAGCTCTATGTTTTGATATCATATTTTCTTGCTAAATTCAATTAGAGTAGATTAATTCGTAGATTACGAATATGCAACAAAAATCATATACCGACTTGTTTAGTAGTTGAATTGCAAATTGATGCAAATTGATAAATAGATTCTGAAGCTAAAGATTTACAAAACTTAATTGTATGAGTGTTACGCAGACTCGGATTAATTCTATTAACTAAAATGGTTCGAAACTAATTAAAATATTATTTAAGAATCTAAACCTTGTAGGGATGTTAGGTGAGAACTAATTAAATTTTGTTAGAAGGCTTTGAAGCCGAAAAGTCGCTGAACTTGATAAAACAATGGGTAATGTGACCCTAATTAGTTAGTTAATTAGATAATCATGAATTGAGATTAGCTAAGTCTAGTTGGTTGTGCATAAGAAATGTAAGATGAGAATTTTAGTCGGTTAATGGAGGTTAGATGCTTAATTCTAATAGTGTAACCATTTCCAATATAGATGGAAGAATCGAATCTAAGTAAATAATAGTTAGAATTATTTATTGTTAAAAGTGAGCTTCAACAACTTTAAGTAATTCAATTACCTTAAAGATATTAATGTGGTTAGCTTACGACTTAACAAATGATCTTATATAAATATTTAATTGTTAATTATCTATTAGTGGAAACCGAAATATCTATATTATACATAGATGTTTATGTAAATATTGATGAATTGAGATTGAATGCAACTAGTGATAATGTCGATGATGCGGAACCCGTAGGAAAGGATTCCTAGAACCCCTAATCGAGTGGATCGGATCAAAGAATGAGATAAAATTCGCCTCTATGGCACCCCTCGTTTATAAGGAAACGAAAACACCAATAATCGAGATTGTAAAAATTGGATAAACGTCACAATAAGTTGATAAGTTTACGTAGAATTCTTGATGCAATTAGAGGAAGCAATCTCTCACTATCACTCTAAGCAAAGAAACAAGCAAAGCTTGATAATTTTTGTAATTCAATTTTATCAAAAGTTGTTTGTTTACAAAGAAGATGAGAATATTTATACTAACCTAAACATATTGGGTAACTTATGGAATAGACCTATTAACAAAAAGGCCCATACAAAAATAACAAAGAACTAAGCCAAAGCATAAAAACATAAAAACACGTCCAAGCTAGTGTCTAGCACCCGTGCTACAGGAGGCAGACTCTAGCACGGGCGTGCCACACCATCAGCACATGCCTCCAACATTGAAACCTAGGAAGGCCTTCAAGTTCCTCACAACACTTGTTAAATGCCACATTATGAAGCTCTTGTGTTGTTTGGACTTGAAAATATAAGGACATGGCTGCCCCATATCGCTTGATACGGCTTCGTGTAATCGGTCCATTAGGAAGCACCAACGGATCTCCTACATTGTTCTCCATGCTTCCTTGAGCTTTATTGATGAGTGGTGGCGGATCCCTATCAGTCGAACTGAGATTAACGATTATTTATAATATGAAAATGTAAATTTAAAATGAAATATTATGATAATAGTAATGATGTGATATGTGAATATTGATATATATGATGTGATGATGGTGGATGAGATTTCTTTTAATTAGCATTATTCACCCGTGGATTGGGCTGTGTTTCTATTGATTAGTTTGTGATTTTGCACAAATTAGATAATTCAATTTTAGGGGAGATGCTGTCGAATGCCCGGCAAGGTAGTTGAGTGGATAATATGGAATAAGAAATTTAGACTTGAGAAAATATATATTAGAAAAATAATAAGGACAGCGAAACTAATCAAATATTTTGGAAAATTAAAGTAGTTGAATTGAAACTTTGAACTTAGGCTAGCACATATAACATATATAAGATTAGAATATATAAGTTAGGAGTAGGAAACTGAAATAAGGAATTTTTGTTAACCCAAAATATTCAGATTAAATAGTTGCAAAAAAGATAGATGCACTATTATTGAAATCAGAATCTAGAAATAACAATCAGGCTTCATGAATGATAAAGTTATTTTGATTATTTTCTTGCATGTCCCGAGGAATCAAATGTCAGATAACAGGATATTGAAAAAGGAGCACAACTTCTTGCTAAGTTAAAAAATAGTGAGTAGTGTTAGATAATTCACATCATCCACCAGCATTTTTGCATTTATGCATGCATGACTAAATGTTATACATGCATTACTTGGTATATTGCTATTTGTGCTGCACTTTGTTGCTATTGAATATTGTTTAATTAATTGTGGCGTGCTAATTGTATGCTTTGTTTGTGTAGAATTGGAATGAAGTGGGTTACTGTTGGGTTTTTGAGGCGGTCTATGATACATCTGCCATGTATGAGGAGATCAGCATCCCTCGTGTGCATTTGATGAAATATGATATGAAAAACTACAGGGTGGCCTCCAGCTGGTATGGAAAAGAAAAGAGAGTATAAAAAAAGGTCAAGTGAGGTTGACACCAGTCGGCCATGTATGGAGGATCGGCTCCCTGGTGCATACGTGATGAGAGGGCGGACCATGTGTGAAAACGGCTCGTTGGGGATTTTGGTGACACCACTGACCAATTTCCACTTGATATGATTATGTAAAGGTGTTAGTATTTTTGTTTGCTATTGCCATGCCATTTGCATGATTGATTGTATGATTATATAGATATGATTATGTAAAGGTGTTAGTATTTTTGTTTGCTATTGCCATGCCATTTGCATGATTGATTGTATGATTATATAACTAGTTAGATAACTAAATTGATTTTAAATACATATTTATGTGATGTGTGGGATGAGAAAGTTATCTAATCTTACTTACTGAGTTTAGGCACCCACCTTTGCCTTAATATTTTTTTTTTTTTTTAGGTTACAGGTTCTCCAATATCTCATTGTTCTCTCTCATCAGATGTCTAGAAGATACATTGATAAATATTTTTTGAAATTTTAAACTCTTAGATTGTTCCGCAATTACAATAGTCATATATAATAAATTTAGATTGAATTTAGAAAATTATTGATGTGGTACTTATTAAAGTTCACATTATTTAATATATTAATATTGGCTTAGAGAATTTTGAAAATTGATTTATTATTGAATAGGGGCTCTTAGGCAAATGTCATATTCACAAGTTTCATTTTTTACTAAATGTCATAAATAGGAAATATTAAAAAACCAACATATTTAGCCAAAATTAATTTAAAAAATATCCATATTAGCCTTTCCCCATTTAATACCTAACCCGTTAAAAACACACCTCGTTAGTAAACCTAAATAAAAACTAATGTAGCTCAATCAACAGAAAAGGAAACCCGAAAGCACCCAACTTCTCTACTTAAATTAAAAGCAAAATAATTAACACCTCCTATAATTTTGAACCATTAATTGTTTGGGAAATGTGATTTTAGATGTTCCCAATTCAAGCACTTAAATGAATGAACTTTCTTACTTTTGAAGAATTTTTCCTTATAAAAATTTATAAGAATTTTAAATATTAGAAATTATACAATATTTGTTCTTAGAAAAAAAATTTTGTAGTTTTCAATTATGTAAATCACAAATTAATGTTTAAGATATAACATGTTACCCGATGATATATAAACCGTGGGTAATGCCCAAGTGCAGAGGATTGAAATCACAGTTGGCGTAAGAATCTCATACTAAAAACATCATTGGCGAAGAGTACCTCTTATCAGTGTTATGAAGATCGGATCGTTCAATGAACTGATGAAGATAGAGATTCATTAAACCGGAAGATTCGACCAGGTTCAATATAGTTCAACTAGATTTTATATATATTATTTTAAATGTATTTAATAAATAAAATTGAAAATATAAGTTAAAAAAAAACTTTGATATCAAATAAAAAACAGTTTCAAATTTGGCCGTTAAAAAATAATAAATAATTTTAAAGAAAAAGAATAAAATATGACTAAATTAGTACTAAAAAAATTAATTAATTACAATAAAATATATTATTATTTTTCACATGTGACTTTAAAATTAGGAAATTATATTATTTTAATTAATATATTATGACTTTGGTTTTAGAAACAAATAGGTCCAAAAACAAAAAAAAAAAAAAAAAAAAAAAAAAAAAAAAAAAAAAAATTCAGATGGCCAATTTTTAATAGCCCAAATTTTTAAAAAAAAAAAAAAAAAAAAATCAGATGGCCCAATTTTTAATAGCCCAAATTTTAAAAAGCCCAACATTTTAAAGGAAAGTCCAGATTTTTAATAGAATTGTTGTTAACCAGTCTAGTTCACCGGTTTTTAGCTGGATCTCCTCTGGGTCAAGCCAGTTTTTTTGACTTGCGATTTTTTTATGCAATCTAGACCAGATTAGAGTCTCGTTCCCTATTAAACCCATAGAATCGGTAAATAGGTCATGATCCCAAATATCCAAATAATTTACTGCTAACTGCTTGAAGGTAGAGAATGTGCAATAAGATAGGTATATGTGCATGTCCATACGGCCAGCTCTTAGCAATGCAGGATCGATCCGATCTTTGTAGTTAGTAGTGAAAACTATAATCCTTTCATTTCCACAGCATGACAGAAGGCCATCTATGGCATTAAGAAGCCCAGAGAGTGTTACCTTTACATAACAATAACAAATTTAACTTCAGCCACACTTAGTGGTTAAACCCTCACAAACAATTGGAGGGATTTACTCCAAAAAAACATGTGTAAGTACAACGCAAATTAGTTCTTAATCCCTTCTTCCTCATTCAAACAAACCCATCTTCCAGAAAACAATAGTAAAAACATAATCAGAAAACGAGAAGTTAAAACTGAGAAGAAAATAAAGAAAATGAGCAAATTAGTTGATGAACAGAGAACAAACCTGAGGCCTTGAAGATTGGGTGTTATTTTCTTGTTGATGATCTCCAGCTTGACGATTCTGAAGCATGATAGAGCAATCAATATCTCAGTATTCTCATTTATATGAGAAATGCGAAGTCTTAAGTTCGAGATATAAGAGTTTTTACCAATTTGATTAGAAAAGAGGAACGTTACCCTATTGTGTAATTTATAGTATTCCTTCGGCACATTGACCTTCCAATGAATAAAAAAAATAAAATTTCTAATTTAATTAAGATTCCTAAACCTATTAAAAAATAATAAAAATTCCTAAGGCGTTTTCCATTGAATTGTTTTCTCATTCTCATATTTATATATAATTTATTATATAGACCATATTAATTTTATTTTTATCTGCTGCAAACCTTTTGCAACAAATGCTTCATCTGCGGTACTATCTTGAGCACTTTAGAAAACTCTCTCACATCAATTGGGAATACGAAGTTTAAACATCAATTTATACAGTCTAGGTGAAAATTTTTTACGTGAAAATTCTTGGATAGTTAATTAATTAATTGGGCCTTTTCAAAAAAAAAAAAATAATAATAATAATAATAGGGTTGTATATGGTCAGTAAAATGATAACTATAAGAAAACCATAAAGAAATAGAAGATAAACTTTAATCAACCGAACTATCTATTTTTTCTCTGAGGATTCTTATAATTTGTTTTTGTTGTTATTTTATTTTATCTATATTTTTTCAATTAAATATTTTTAACTCGTTTGATATTTATATTAATAGAGTCCCTGTATTCTAAATCATTCAAAACTCCAGTATCTCAATCAGAAAAAAACTCTCTTCTTTCTCCTTCACAGAGTCCTACGATGGAGGACCAATATAAGCGGGAGGTTACTGTAACAAACCCTGAAAACAAAGATAACACTATTACTGATCAAAGCCATAGCCCTTCTATATATCATCTGCCTTCTTCTCCTACTAATACTGATTTTTCTTCTAATACTTCAGTTATTGATCCTTTGATTAACAATGGCAACAACAACAATAACAGTACTAATATTATTGTTGCTTCTGTTGATGGTGATAATGGAGGATTTAGGGTTCTGGCAGATAACGAAGAGCTTTATTTGGATTCTTTCCCAGCTGGGTATAGGTTTAAACCCTATGACAGAGAGCTTGTTGTTAGCTACCTCAAAAAGAAAATTGATAACGTACCTCTGCCTGCTAATAGGATCAGAGAGGTTCAGTTATATAAGCATAATCCTGAGACTCTTGCAGGTAATAATTTATATATATAATACTAAATCATATATTGGATTTTTATCACCTTTTGTTTCCATATTTGGATTCTTTGAGTCGTTTTATAATTAGTTCTTTGATGGATTGATACATAAATCATGAGGACAAAGGAATCGTACTATATATATATATTATTTATTTGAATTATATTGGGTTTTGATTTGTTTTGTATTTTGATAATTAAATTTCAATAAAGCATCTGGATATGTGCGTTTTGCTTTGTTTTTATATTTTGCTTTTTTCTTTCTCAATTATGATTATTTCGTATTTAATTTTGTCCTTCAAAATGAATATGATGAATTTATGGCAGCAAATTATAAACCACATGGGGAGAATGAATGGTACTTCTTCACGCCGAGAGATCGAAAGTACCCAAATGGGGACAGACCTAATCGAGCTGCTGGCGATGGATACTGGAAGGCTACCGGTGCAGATAAGCCTATTTACAGTGGAGGCATTAAAGTTGGATTCCGGAAGGCATTAGTGTTCTACAAAGGAAAACCTCCGAGAGGTGACAAAACTGATTGGATTATGCATGAATATAGAGTGAACGAACCTCAAAAGAGAAAAAGACAGGGAAACGATATGAAGGTTTTCCTCTTTCCCTTTTGTTTAATATCTTTTAAAACCCTAATTCTTAGTCTCACCTTGTTCTTTGTGGCAGCTTGATGACTGGGTCTTATGTAGGATATATAAGAAATTTGATAAAGGCTTTAGAGCTCCCGCTCGACCTCGAGGTCAAGCTCCGACAAAAGAAACTGATGCTTATGAAAATGAGCATGAGCTTGAGCATTCAACAATGTTGCCAATTAGAGAATCGAAAGAAAACTTACTGCCTATTGTGGGAACTTACAACCATGAAATCAATCCATATCTTAATACCCATATTGCAAATTCTACTTTGGTTGCATCTCATCATTTTAATGGATATGTTGAATCGTTCGACGAGCAGTATGCTTACGGAATCGGACCTGTGTTAGGTCCCAACCTTCCATTTCAGAGTCATTCCAATCCTTCAACTGACTATTTCAATTATCATCCTCTGGAGAATCTGGATACATTGGGTGATTTCTCCTCTTTTGACAACTATGATCATTTCCCGCCCTATCAACACAAGAATGGTGACAACTATCATTGACTATATTGCGTGGAGAGTCTGCAATTTGAAGGTGATAGCTTCCATTGGCGTACTGACCTTAATTTTTTAAGGCAAAATTTAGTTGTTTGAACATATTAATTCTTAGGTTATGTTTTAGCTGTTTTTGCTGTTAGGATTGGTGATCTTTGAAAAGGCATGATAGCTAGATAAACAATATGACTTAGCTTAGAAGATGGTTTCTAACTAGGTTGATTATGCTAAGCATTTGCTATTAGGATTTGTTAATGTGATTTATTTTAGTTTGTTTAATGTTTTCTTTGTGTGATTTATTTTTTTGCTTGTTAGATGTACTATTGCCACCATTAGCATTTTTTTATAGTCCTAATTATTTTACAGGAAAAATAGCATTTTTAGGGTTCAAGCTCACCCAAAACAATCCAATCTAATTTGAAAATATTAGATAAAAGATCAACAATACAAAGTTCATATGAGAAGATTATCTCTTTTTTTGAGATAAGAGAATAAATAGTTGAAATAAAACCAAAAAAGAACTCTAATCAAGCAAAAAAAAAAAAAAAAAAAAAAAATAAATAGTTGAAATAAACCAAAAAAGAACTCTGAATCAAGCAAAAAAAAAAAAAAAAAAAAAAAAAAAAAAAAAAAAAACTCCTCAATTTGCACATACCCTAACCATACATAGTTAATTCTGAAAAGATCGATATTTTCAAATTATTAATTATCAAAAAGGCTGAAATATATATCGGATACATTTAAAACTTCGGAAGTATTTAAACTATGTAAGAACAACATTCAATTTTTTTAATTTAATAATAAGTTTCACACAGCTGAAAAAATTTATTTTTGTCACAAATAATAGAAAATAAAAATAACCCAAAAAAAAAGCAGAAAATCAAAATTTAAATTTCTCCGAAAGATTTGAATTGATAAACAAAATCAAAATTTCATTTTGAAATTCAAAATCTAAAAATCCTATATTTAGAATTTTTTTTTTTTTTTATCCTTTGACTCATTCAAAATCAAGATTTCAAAAATTGAAAGATTTTGTAAACATATTTTCCTTATCCTTTCTTTTTTCTTTTTCTTTTTTTTTTTTGAATAAGTGAAAAAGATTTACTAATGAAATAAACATAGTAAACATTGTAACAATATAAAAGTGAAGGTGTTGCTGGTCATAAACAAAAATAATTCATTCATAGGCTATCACATAATTCACTTAATTTCATAGATATGGATAAACTTAGTTCTAACTTTTGTAGGTAGAAAAGAACATGAGTGGGAGATGATTTTTTGCGAGCATTCATTATGTGTGTCCAAATATTTTTTATTTTCTTACTTTATTTGTTTGTTTATTTTGGGGCAATCAAGCTTTTGGTGGAAATGGTCCTTTAGAAGGTCAAAGCTCAACTAAGTGGCTGCCGCCTGCGCACTATGAGCGCGTAAGATTTTATTAGACCAAGGAACATTCTAGTTATAGCCTACCCTACCAAATAAGTGGCTGGGGGAACTTACCAATTACCGGCGTAACCAGTATAAATTGGTGCAAGTTGGCATCGTAGCCAACTAGCCATGAGTCAATTCTAGGTTACTAAGGGCGGTCGTGTTACATAATGGTGTTTAGTGTTTTGAATTAGTTAAAGTTCTTTTAAAAGTCTATGGAGTGTTATCTAAATATTCAGCGTTTCACTTGTTTTACTATTTTTTTTTTTTTTCAATCTTATCTTTATCCTTAATTAATATAAAATCTTATCCTTAATTATCACATTATTTTATTATCTTTTTGTTTAACTTATTTTTATTTGATAGTAAAAGAAAACAAAATATTATTTATATATTTGTATTTAAATTCAAATAAATATTAAAAATTAAAAATAATATTAAAAATTAAAAATGTTGATCTCCTAAAATATTAAAAATTTTCCATTTTATTTATAAAATAGTAAACTTTTCAATTTTTACTCTCTTAAATTTTGAAAATCTAGATATGAAATCATTCTTTTATAATGAATTTAATTGAAAATTTTAGGTGAATATTTCAATGCCTTTTTTTGTCATTTTAAATTTATTGTCAATTGAACAATTATTTTTATTGAACATTTTCACTTTCAACCACTATTAAAACAGCTAACAGCTAGTCGCTAATAGCTAATATTACCGAACAGGCCCTTATTCATTTATTTTGACTATTAAAGTTCTTTTTTTCCAAAAAAAAAAAAGAAAAAATAAAAGCCATTTTATATTTTAATTTTCTGCAAAAAATTGGCATATACCACTCGAGACTTAAATTCGAGTATTTTATTTTATGAATTTTTATAAATTTAGAGTATAATGTGAAAAATACACTATAATCCTTTTATTTGACATATTTAGCTTGTAATGAGTTAAAAATTTAATTCAATTAGAATATAATTCTTTGTTTATGAAAAAATTAATCACTTAATTACTAAGTCAATCAAAATGTAAATTTTTATTGAGATCAATGGAAATCAAAGTATACATGAGAAATCATTTTCAAAAACTATAAAAAGCTATCTAAAATAAATAATGAATAAATAAATTTAAATATAATTTTTATTTTTATATATTTTTTACTTGGCATATGTTTTCTTCAAGCTCGAACTAAATAATATTTCGACACAATAATAGTGAATTTAAACCTTTTATCTTGCAAGTAAAATTTATACTCCATCCGTTTCATCATTTATATGCAAAGTTGTTTTTGCACAAAGATTAAATTTTCTCTATTTTTCTTTATTTACCCTCAATACATCAATAAATAAGTTTGTCACAACATAACAGAAACTTATATATATATATTAATGCATTTCACAAAATAAAAAAAGGAGCAAAATGATTTTTGTACTTCACGCAAAATCCATTTTAAGTTTACCTATGTAAATGGAACTTGTAAAATAAAAATTTTTGCCTATATAAATGGAACGATCTCTCTTATAATCCAACTGCATGTTGGTGTTAATTTAATAATGTTTAACAGTAGTGAAAAAACCAACTAATTGGTACAAAATACAGAATTTGTGAGCAGGAGAATTTGCTAGTGGGTTAGGTGTAGACAGTGGACACAAAACCTAGGCAACAACAAACCAATAAATAGTACTTCCTAGAAGCTGCATGTAGTTGGAATAGGTGATCATGACAAGCATTTCTATGTGCTCTAGTTTCTGGAATCCAGCTGTAGACTTCTCATTTCTTTGCAACAACCCAAAATCTGAACATTCCTACCTCTACCTCTCCCTATAAATACCCACCAAATTGAATCCTTTCAATTTGTCAGAAAAACAAAACAAACATATCTCAGAGTCCCAAACTCCTGAAACTGCCTTACTTGCCCTACTAGCTAATATGGCTCGATCAAATCCTTTAGCTCTACTACTATTGATGCTTATAGCGGGTTCTTCTTTTATGGTTGCTATGGCTGCAAATTTTTACCAAGATGTTGATATTACGTGGGGAGATGGGCGTGGTAAAATACTTAATAATGGTAATCTCATTACACTTTCTCTTGATAAATACTCTGGCTCTGGCTTCCAATCCAAGAATGAGTATCTCTTTGGCAAATTTGATATGCAACTCAAGCTTGTCCCTGGCAATTCTGCTGGCACTGTTACCACTTTCTATGTAAGATACTTGTTCTAATATTTAGATTCTTTTCTTTTTTTTTCTAAGTTCTTTCTGTCTGTGCGTCCAAATTAGCCGATTTGATAGCTGTTTGAGTAATTGATAGTTGTTTAAGTAACTTTTCATAATACGCTAAAAGTTAATTTTTTATAAAATATTGTCTTAACTTTTAAAAAATAATTCAAACACTACGTTATTGAACACTGTGAAAAATAACTTAACGTTTTGATTGATTAAATTGTTAAAAAGCTATTTAAAAAGTTGCTGTGAAACACGGCTTTTTATATTTTATTGTTATATATTACTAAAAGAAAAGAAATGTTTTACTTTGCAGTTCCACTCTCAAGGATCATCTTGGGATGAAATAGACTTTGAGTTCTTGGGAAACCTTAGTGGCGACCCTTATCTAGTCCACACTAATGTTTACACTCAAGGAAAAGGAAATAGAGAAGAACAATTTTACCTTTGGTTTGATCCAACGGCTGATTTCCATACATATTCTGTGCTTTGGAATCCTGGGCATATTGTGTAAGTATATGCATACGAATAGTGCTCTGTTTGAAAATTATTGACTTTGCTTCTAATTATATTATTATAATTAGAAAATTATGATTTTACCCCTATTTTTGCCATAATATACAACATTACCTTTGCATTTTTAAAAATATATAGTTTTATCCTTATCTTTTATCTCTGTTGCAATATTACATCATTCTATTAATTTTTTTGTACTTTTTCGTCAAAAAATTACTATTTTATCTTTATATTTTGTCAAAATTAACTAATTTATTTTTATATTTATTAACTATTTTGTCCTAGTATTTTGAAAAATTAACTAATATGTTCCTGAATTTAACGGAAATGTATAAAAAATTAACAGAATGGTATAACAGTATGAGAGAAGTAAAAGATAAGAACAAAACTATGTATTTCTAAAAACGCAAGCACAGAGTCATGTATTTTAATAAAATATAAGGATAAAATAGGAATTTTCCCTATTATAATTATAAAAAAAAAAAATCAAAAGTTATTAGGAAACTATTGTTTTGGGCTATTGCTGACTTGTTTAATTTTATCTTTAAACAGATTCTACGTTGATGGTAGACCAATTAGAGAATTTAAGAACATGGAATCAATGGGAGTGGGTTACCCAAAAACCCAACCAATGAGGATGTATGCAAGCTTATGGAATGCAGATGATTGGGCAACAAGAGGAGGATTAGTGAAGACAGATTGGACACAAGCACCTTTCACTGCTTCCTTTAGAAACTTCAATGCCAATGCTTGTGTTTGGTCTAATGGAGCTTCTTCTTGCTCTAATAATAACAAATGGTTTTCACAAGAACTTGATTCTGCAAGTCAACAGCAGCTTAAATGGGTGAGAAAGAATTATATGGTCTACAGCTACTGTTCAGATACTAAGAGGTTCTCTCAGGGCCTTCCTCTAGAATGTACTATCACTAACAAGAATTAAGAGAGAGAGAGTTTTGCTTCTTTTTTTTTTTTTTTTTTTTTTTCTAAGCTTTCCAGATTTTCTTTCTTTTTATTGATTAAAGATTGGAGCCAATGCAGAAATTTGTGTATATGATTAATTTAAATTATAACAATCAGAATCAAGGAAAAAGTTAAAATAGTACTCTTATCTTCTTTTTTTTATTCAATACATACTTTTACTCTTTATTTCTTTTTTTCATCTCTTCCCACTTTTTTTTTTTTTTTTTTTTTTTTTTTTGGCTCTAGAGCTTTCCAGATTTTCTTTCTTTTATCTGATATAAGATTGGAGCAATGCAGAAATTGATGTATATGATTAAATTAAATTATAAAGGAATAAGAAAAAGTAAAATAGTAGTCCTATCTTCTTTTTTTTACTTCAATACATCTTTTACTCTTTATTTCTTTTTTTTCATCTCTTGTTCACTTTTAATAAATTTGGTCTGTTTTTCTTTCAGTAGATTTGTTTTGGTTTTTGTTATTTTTGTTGTCTCTGTATTTTGAATTTTTTGTTCATTTTCTGTGAGGATTTGGTCCGTTCTTTATGAAAATTTATTACTAAAGTAAAAGTATAATTAATATTTAATTTTATTTAGTTGAAGACCTTAGATCTTGATTTCATAGAAACTCATCTTAGTACATCATATGTTGTAAATTCTTAGGAAAAAAAATCATCTTAGTACGTCATTTGTTCAAACTCATCATATGTTATTGGAAAAACAAAAGTATAGAAGATCTTAAAAAAGTTATATTATGTTGTCGAAACGAAAATTTACATCTTTTGTCAAGATGTGGAATGATATAATATTATCTCTTTTATATTTTAATTTTATTATTCAAAATAATATATACCATTCTTTTGATTTGTTAAAATATCAGCTAATACAATTCTTTTGATTTGTTAAAATATTAGTAAACTTTATTAGCTTTTTGATAATAAAATTTCATATATGATCTATATGAGTGTTGTGTAATGTTTGATATTATAATTAATGAATTATATTTTAAAAAAAATAAAATAAAAAAATATTTTGATCTAAAATAAAAAATTAAGAAAATGAAGAGTTCTAAAATATTTTTTAGATTAATATATTATGGGTTATTAACATTGGAAAAAAAAAAAAAGAATGACATATTTTTCATACTATGTCCCTTCTTTTATCTGATGTCTTTTATATTTTACTTTTCTTGTTTTATGGGATGAAGTTTCAAAGGTGGTTTTTCTTTATTTTTTTATTTCTTTAATAAACGTTTTTGAGTTATTTACGATTGCCGCTCCCCTAATTTTGCATATTTTCCTTTTCCCTTCCTCCTTCTATTTTCTCATATTTTTCATTAAAGATTTTTTTATCTACAAAATTAGAAAATGTATAATCTTTTTGTTTGTTATTTTTGTATTTTATAGATTTTCATGATTACCCACCATGAAATCCGAGGATTTCTTTTATTTTTTCATTTTATTATGTTTTATTTTGATTTTATTTTACTTTTTTTTTATTTTGATTTTGTTGATCTCTTGTTGAATATTTCTTTGATATTTTATTTGGATTTTGAATGTTTTGTTAATTTTTGATTAATGCTGGGATGAATTTTAATGGTGGTATTTGGTGAAGAAGATAATGAAGGAGCGGATATCTTGATAGAAAACGAAAATGTGAGAGGAGGATAAAAGTTTTTGTCTTTTTTCATTGACTTCACTGCTAAATGGGATGGAAGTACTAAATGATCGACGGACTGAAATTATAAAGACTTCAAAAAGCATTTCTAAAATGGCAGAGATAAAGTGACTGTATTTCGATATATATAGGGATGTAATAATAATTTTTTTGTATAAAAAGATTAGATAAATTAAATAATATCAAATTAGATCCCAAGTCAATAATTCAAATCTCTAAATGCCATGTCGGCTTTTATTGTTGTGTATATTTATATATAGATAGATAGATTATTGCAAAGTTGAATAAACGTTCGGTTTGGTTCAAACTAAATCGAAGCCATAAAATATAAACCGATGTTTCTTTACAATAAATCGAAGTGGACCAAAATTTGTATATGAATTAAATCAATCAAATCAAACCAGTCATTTCGGTCTATTTTTATCGATTTTACCATTTTGGTTCGGTTTTAAGCCCAACCTTGAATTTTTGTGTAATCAAATTGAACCGAACAATAAATTTGGTTCAAACCGAATGAACCGACTAACCAAATCTCTCTTGGACATCAAATCAAATCAAATCGAAATGAGTCGGTTCGGTCGATACTTTTGCTCATCCCTAGATTATTGGAAAGAGAAAATGAATAGCTTTATAACATTGAAAAAAAATAAAGAATTTTATAATTTTTGAATAAGAATCTGTTCAAATTAGGAGATACTTAAATTAAAATATTAAAATTTAAAAAAAAAAGAAAATATGGCATCAATTTGTTATGATGTTATTAACTATTGAAAATTAAATTAAAGGATTTATTATTAATGTAGTAAATTTATTATTGAGTTATTAATTATTGTAAATGAAGAAAGAGAAATATATACCATCTACTCCAACAAATAATATTATACTCCAATCAAATTTGATAAAATTTATTTTTAGGTGTAATTAAATCCATAAAATTAAAATTTTAAAATTTAATTATGCATTCCAGTCAAATCAAATAGATAAAAAGTAGAATTTAATTGAATTTCACAGAATTTTTACACATGTAATTCAACCAAACAAGCCGGTACAAACAGGCGTATACTCCATTAACAATGCATTGTTGGTCTTCTCCTACCAATTAAACGACATCGTTTTAGAAATCGTACTCGGAACACAAAAAAGCTAATAGCGTAGCATCCTCAAAACACGACTCGTCAAATTCTATTCCTCCTTCACACTTCTGTCGTCACAACGGCCACTGTTCTTTTCTGTCTCTCTCTTGATCGAGGGTCTGAACTCCATAGTCTCAGTACAACAAGGTATATCCATGTCTTCGCTGTCTCTCTGTTTCTCCCTTTGTAATTTTCTTATTTTGGCATTTAAGATGGAAATATTATGACTTTTTACCTTTAGCAATCAAGAAACAAAGGGAAGAAGAATAAGGTTGGAGGATTAAACAATGGCTATTGCGGCCGCTGGACAGCTCAATATCCATGAGTCGCCCTTGTGGGGTTCAAGAAGCGTCGACTGTTTTGAAAAATTGGAGCAGGTTGGCGAGGGTACTTATGGGTCAGTTTTTTTCCCCGTCAAATTTGTTATCTTTTTGGTGCTCCTTGTGTGTGTGCATGTTTTTTTTTCTTTTTAAATTTAAATTTAGGGTTTTGCAAAATCTAATGTTGTTTCAAATTAATTTCTGTCTACACCCATATAGGATATTCTGATGGTCTTGTGGTTGTGGTTACATTAGTGTAATGAATTCATGATGCGTTATGAAGCTTCATGAAAAGCTTAAGTTGAATGAATTTGAGAATTTGAACATTTGGGTTTGTGGATGGAGATGTCTGGTAAAGGATAGATTTTGAGAAGTAACGAGAGTTGTTAATGGTGTCACCCATACATACTTGCCTTAATTCACCCACATAAAAGCCTAAAAAGAACAAAGGGTGTAATTATTGCTGAATGGATATGTGCATGTGTTAACAGTGCCAAAATGTGAGATAGCTTAAGTAATCTGACAATTGCTACTTTTATTGTGTGCAAAAATTTGACTAATTAATGAATTTCATGGTTTGTATCAAAAGAGAGGAGATCTAGTTCCTGTAAACTAATTAGTAATTAGTTATTGACTGCATGGATGTTTGAAAAGAGAACAATGGTGAACAGAGGGTTTATAGGTATGATCTGCTAGAAGGAATGTCTTGTATAGAAACACAAGTTGAGATCTGGAATGTATTTGAAATGTTTGATTAGTGGAAAAAAACTGGAAAATATGTTACTTTGGGTTCATATTGGGCTAATAAGATGATGCGATTAGGACTGTTTAAAGTAAGAGATAGTAGAAATTTATTCTAAGTGCATAATTTTCCTTTAAAACATCTATGCTTGTAATTCGGCATGACAAAATAATGAATCTAAGCATGTCTTTCCATAATCTAAGAGCAACATAATGTGATGTTGATGTTTTTTTCTGCCAAGTGGTATTTATTGTTTGTGCAATTTCCAAAATTTTTTAAACGATGTCCTTGGTACTCATAATTTTGAGAAGAATATTTCAACGTTCAACGCAGTTTTCATCGTTGCGAACCTCAAGTTCTCCACTGTCTAAATTTCCTGCAAGCTGTTCATTATTGCCCAGCCTTGAATTTCTTTGAAAAGTGAACAGAAATAACAAATAGTACAATATATTGTAAAGAACACAAGCATGAGTATCTTATAATTTAAACATGCTTCACATTCTTGTCCAGCCCTTTGCTTCATAGCTTTTTTTTTTTTTTTTTTTTTTTTAGCTTTTTTTTGTTTTTTTTTTTTTTTTTTTTCAATTTCCTGTCAAAGAAAGAATTTCCCATATTTTTCCTTTTTTATGATTTTTGATGATGACATTAATCACATGCACATTTTTTTTTTTTTTTTTTTTTTTTTCAATTTCTGTCAAAGAAAAATTTCCATATTTTTTCCTTTATGATTTTTGAAGCTGATGACATTAATATGATTGGCGCGCATGCTTTTCTTCATGCAGTCAGGTTTACATGGCCAAAGAACGCAAGACAGGTGAAATAGTTGCTTTGAAGAAAATAAGAATGGACAATGAAAGAGAAGGGGTACATTTATATTCTTATGAGTTTATTTGTTTGTACAAATTACTTGATTGACATTGATATATCCCTTTATATCTTCTGTTTAATCCTTTTATACTTTTAGTTTTTATGCATTGTGTCTGAGTTCAATGAGTTAAAAATGGGTTGTCAGTTTATCTTGCTCAATATAGAAAAGAAATATATATTCCACTATTAAATAATTCTTGAATTTTCTGCAGTTTCCCATTACAGCAATACGTGAAATCAAAATTCTAAAGAAGTTACATCATGAAAACGTGCTTAAGTTGAAAGAGATCGTGACTTCTCCTGGTAAGGCTGTAAGCTTTCCAATTTCATTGTACATGTATGGTGTTGCACTTTTGATGTAATTATTCATGACATAGTGTAGGAGTTGTTTCCTTTAGATATCTAAATTTATTGGGCTGTTTTTCAGGTCCTGAGAAGGATGAGCAGGGGAGGACAGGCAAGTCCTCCACTCTTGCATGTTTTGCTGTTGGTTTATCACAATTTTTTAGTGTGTGGATGTGTCCATCCAAGTGCACATGTGCATGCACATACCATTCTTTTGATGGTTTTGCATCCAATGATGCACATGGTCAGATTGTTTAAGGGTAGTTGATTAATGACTACTGTAATGTTGGTTTGCAGATGGTAACAAGTATAAAGGTGGAATATACATGGTCTTTGAATACATGGACCATGATTTGACAGGTCTTGCTGATCGTCCTGGGATGAGATTTTCAGTTCCTCAAATTAAGGTATCAAGATGAGATGGAGCTTCTGGTGCTTCACATTGACACTATCCTTTCTTCTCATCATTTTATCTCAGACTCTTGCACTTTTTTTCTTTAGTGTTATATGAGGCAGCTTTTAACAGGCCTTCACTATTGTCACATAAACCAAGTGCTTCATCGTGATATAAAAGGTAATTAAGGAAACAAATAATTTATCATTGAATATTGTTTTTTTACTTCAGAAGACAATGGGTAGTTGAACTCTTTTTTCATTGCAGGCTCTAATCTTCTCATAGACAATGAAGGTAATTTAAAGCTTGCAGATTTTGGGCTTGCTCGATCATTCTCAAGTGATCACACTGGAAATCTTACAAATCGTGTTATTACTTTATGGTACAGGTAGAGTTTTATACAATGAAAAGACTGTTCATATTTGATTAGCTAAAATTTTACTTTCTATTACACAGTGCACTACTTCCTTCCACCTAACTAATGTGAGAAATATGAAGAAACATAAAAATGAAAATGCAACTTTTACTTCTTTTGAACAGACCGCCAGAGTTGCTGCTTGGAGCAACAAAGTATGGTCCAGCTGTTGATATGTGGTCTGTCGGCTGTATTTTTGCTGAACTTCTTCATGGGAAACCAATTTTTCCTGGAAAAGATGAGGTAAGTAGATTAGAATTCTTGATTTTTACATGCCTCATGAATGATCATCACCTTGCACTTGGACAGAAGGATTTGAATTGTGAGATGTGAATTTGATAATGAATTAATTTCATTTTTTGAGTTTTTTTTTTTATTGAACATGAATGTCAGTTTATGAATATGAGTAAAAAACCTTATTTAAATATGGATCTGAAATATAAGATTCACTTCAGATTTTATGAATATGAGTAAAAAACCTTATTTAAATATGGATCTGAAATATAAGATTCACTTCAGATCTAGCTCAATTAAGTTCACCGGCGTATCTAAGAATCTAACTCCTTTCATGAAGTAGGTTAACTTTCATTCCCAATATTTAACCACCCCTAATTTGAATAGCATCACTGTTAAATGTGTTTTGAGTGGATAATGACATTTTAATTTTAGAAAGAGAAGGAAAAAGAAAAACAAGGGGAGAGACCCATTATTCAAGTGTTCACAATCTTGCCAGGCCTGCATCATGATCATGTCTAGATAATTTTGAGTGAAATAGACTAGTGATATTGATCTTTCTATCTTGTTTTTGGTCAGGTATTGATAGCTAGCCTTCTATAGATGTGCTTTCTTTGATTAGTTATGGGATAAATACATAGAAGGTTGTTAATTTGTTATAGGGTTAAAGCAATAGTGGTGAAATGTTACAGGAGTAATTAAAGGGTAATTTACTAAGATTTTAATTTGTGTTTAATTATTATTTAGCGGATTGTATGAATTTTCTTATATATATTTTACTAGCTGTGGGGCTGAGGCTCATTACAGTGGTTATTGTTATTGGAGTGCTTGTTAAATTCTTAACATTGTTTTTCCCCCTTCTAACGCCATTCAACCAACCTAGTTCCCTAGTCAAATGTTAAAGTCAACAATTATTCTCACCTACTTTATATTTAAAAAGAGGAGTTGTCCAAATATTTACAAGTTTTTTATCCTGCTGTCTATGCTGTGCGATTTGATCCATAAATTGCCTTGTTTGTTTGGATTTTTAGCTTTTGTGTTTCATTACTATGTAGACACATGTATGGTAACTTGTTCGTCATTTTCAAGACTTCCCTAACAAAAGTTTATTGTTGTGATTCGGAGAAAAAGTTATAGGAGTTGATTTTATGTTGCAATTTGATTCTTTTAATTGTTACATCAGTAATTTGCTGACTTGCTATAATTCTAATAGTCTTTTTCTGACTTTTGTAGCCAGAACAATTAAATAAGATTTTTGAGCTGTGTGGATCTCCAGATGAGGTTAATTGGCCTGGAGTTTCTAAGACTCCTTGGTATAATAATTTTAAACCAACAAGGCCTATGAAGAGACGCCTGAGGGAGGTTTTCAGACAGTAAGTTTTACCAATTTTTGTGCCTTTTGCTTAATTCTTCAAACCCCACCACTCGTCCCTGCCAAACCCCCCAAGTTTTTCTGCCTTCTTACCTCTTTTTTTTTTTTTTTTTTACTCTTTTTTTTTTTTTTTGGTGTGTGGTGTAATACGTTTTGACGTCATGCTCTGGAGTTCTTCTTCTCTTTTTTTTTTTTTTTTGGTGTGTGTGTAATAGTTTTGACCGTCATGCTCTGGAGTTATTGGAGAGAATGCTAATGCTTGATCCCTCTCAGGTATCTTTTTATCAGTTTTTTTAATAGTCATTTTGTTTAATATGATAGAATTGGCTTAGATTATCCTATGTTCTACTACTGGTTTGGAGTCTGAATGTCTGTTAAATGTCTAGGAGTTGAGTTATTTGTCATTTTTAAATTGGAGTTACATGTCAACGTTAGTTTGGACTATTCCCACCCTTAGGGCTGCACACAGTTTGGTAAACTGACTGAACTAAACCGGTTCCTTGCATCTTTTGATGAATCTGTGTTACATTTTCCTTGAGAGTATAAAGTTATCAGGGATGTAAATGCATGACTAGTGAAATTGGCTTTCTACATTTCTTGGCGTTGCTTTTTTCTTTCTGATTGATTTTGTTTAGAAGCCCTTCTATGAGTATGTGCCATCTTCTTGCTTAATGTTATTATACAACTCTGTTAGCCAACAGCCATAATATTAATCATTCTGCACTAGTATCTCTTAGACTAGTGTGCACTTTATTTTCAATTTGATTTTCTTACCTCATGGTTTTGATGATAGACATTGGCCTGATGAATTGGCTGCTTTAAGTGTTGCAAAGATGGCATTTTTCATTTTTTAATTTTTTTTTTTTTTAATTTTGAAGTAAATGGATATGGATCTCTCTCTGAACATTTGTATGAGAATTGCTCTTTACGAGGTAACCTAGGTGCAGATCCAGGTTACAGTTTATTTACCTTCTGATCTATGATAAGTTTTAATGAACTCTAGCAAAACAGAAAAAAGTGCATGCAAAAAGATTAAAGAGAGGGAGAGACAAAAAAATGCCCCTGCAATGTTCTCTGGATTATCAGTTGGTGGTGTTCTGAATGCAAAATTCAAATTTTCACTGTGCTGCATCAGTTGAATTATGTTCAACTATATCTCACTTTGTGCTTTTTACTATTTTTCATTATAAAACAGAGAATATCTGCTAAGGATGCACTTGATGCTGAATATTTCTGGACTGACCCATTGCCTTGTGACCCTAGGAGGTTTGGCTTGCTCTTGGCTGCATTGTTTTATTTTAAATAACACAATGATTGTAGCATATGTTAGTAGGCTTGTTTCCTTGACCAATTGTTTTCCTTTTCTCGGTCAGTTTACCTAAATATGAATCATCCCACGAGTTTCAGACAAAGAAAAAGCGCCAGCAACAAAGACAGCACGAAGAAAACGCAAAACGTCAGAAACTGCAACACCCCCAGCAGCATGGTCGCCTTCCACCTATTCAGCAGTCTGGTCAGGCACATGCACAAATGAGGTCAGGGCCTAATCAGCCTGTACATAATTCACAACCAGCGGTCGCTGCAGGGCCTAGCCACCATTATGGCAAACCCGGGCCTGGCCGATACCCCCCAAGTGGAACAAGTGGAGGATACAACCATCCAAACCGTGGAGGTCAAGGTGGAGGCTACGGGACTGGACAATATCCTCCACATGGTCGGGCACCTCCCTATGGTTCAAGTGGCATGCCTGGTGCCCCTCGTGGTGGTGGAAATTATCCCCAAGGTGCCCCAAATTATCCCCAAGGTGGCGCTCCATATGGTAGTTCTGGCGCTGGTCGAGGTTCAAACATGATGGGCGGAAACCGGAACAACCAGCATTATGGATGGCAACAGTAGTGTGATTTGATTATTAAACTCGGTTTAAGCATATATTGAAATCATGATCATTTGAGTTCTTTAGAATTTTCTTATGGTTCCTGCAGTTCCAAATTTCTGTACTAGAGAGCAGAGACCATTATTGAGCTTAGTTTCAAATATATTATGGTTGTGATCTACATCACTAAATCCCTCTGGAACCTTAGAATTATAGATGGCTGTAATTTTTTTCTTTTGGCTGTATCTGCATTACTAAATAATTCATTTTTATTTCATAAAATATTTTATTTATTTATATAAATTGGGTTGCAATAGCAAGTAGGTAAATGTGTTTATAAATATCAAAAGATTATATAAGTGGATAAAGCATTATCGAATAGAAATGAAAGTGAATTAAAATCCATTTAAGAATATATTAAGCTGTTAATAATTTTACTAATCATATTTGTTCTAAAATTATTTAAATAATATCCAAGTCTATCCCAGGACGAAATATCAAAAAAAATACAGTCAGTGCTGTGCTTATCCATACATAGCAAATATATATATTTCATAATTCATTGATTAAAGATATTCTTGAATTCAATTAACAAAATTTCTTTGGAAATCTTTTAGTTTCAACATGAATTGAATATGGACAGTTTGTTCACAAGCCAGTGGAGAGGGAAGAAAGAGATGTTTTTCATGTGATGGTTTTGTCGTCAAAGTTATTTGGACATGGACTCGTCCTTTATAATTAGTTGAATCCGTGAGGAAACAATCTTTTCAATTTTAGGAGCTATTAGTGTTTAAAGAGATTTTATATCAGGGCTATAAATTTAAAATTTTGAGTTAAAAAAAAAAGATTCATGTTATCTCATCTCACTTTTCAGAAATTTAAAATATAATTTTATATTTGAATGAAGTAGGCACTTGAATTAAAAATTTTCTTAAAAGCTTTCAAATATTATTAAGTTTGAAATTTGTCATTAACCATATTTAATTTCACAAAGCAATATATCAAATTCAATTTGAACTCTCCACGAGAATTTTATTAAAGTATCATCTCTATATGAGTGAAGAAACGTGTTAAAAAATAAAAAAAAAGACTTGATCCGAGAATATTCCAAAGATATTTCTTTCTGTTTGTATCAGGAAAATATCTATTAATTAATAGTTAATTGTCAGATTTATGGTTGAGGTGGCGGCAGAAAATCCAGTTTTGGAGTTCTGGAACGGATAAAGATAAACATCAGGTGTTTGTCCTAAAGCGGCAAGCACTGAACCTGTTCAACAATTTCAAACTTGTATTTTTTTTTTTTTTTTTTTTAAAATTTTTTTTTTTTTTTTTACAGAGAAAAGGAAACAGACATCACAGGTTTGGACCATTTCTAACCCCCTGTTCACAGCTTCAAACCTATCAATGCATGCAAATCTTTCATATTTTTTATTTATAATTTTTAAACTTTTAATGGATTTTGTTCTGTCTTATAGGTTTGTTTGGATTTTTTTTCCGAATTACATTATAAAAACGTCCTATTTTTTTTTTTTTTTTTTTAAAAGAAAAAGGAAAAGACATCACAGGTTTGGACCATTTCTATACCCACCTGTTCACAGCTTCAACCCTACAATGCATGCAATCTTTCAATATTTTTTAATTATAATTTTAACTTTTAATGGATTTGTTCTGTCCTTAATAGGTTTGTTGGATTTTTTTTCCGAATTTACATTATAAAAAGTATATAGTCCGAAAAATTAATTATCTAATTTGTTAATATTAATCTTTTACATCAATTGATTTAAGTTCAAATAAGCCAATATTATTAAAGAAAATGCATATTACTTTTTTTTTTTTTATAAATTTTTGATAGTAGATGCTATGGTTGTGTTTCAATTTAGATTTTCATATAAATAACTGTGAACTGTGTTAATTACATTTGAGAGAAAAGCATTAACATTTTAGTATTGATTACAATAACTTAATTATGGGTTCAATCTTCGAATGCAAACTCTTATATGTCAGTGTATTTGCTTTCGAAAATAAATGAGGATTAATCAGATTTACCATAGACTGTTAAAACGGACACGAGTTTGACAACTAACCGGAAGTATATATATATATATATATAAAGAAAAGGTATTTTTTGTTACAAAAAAGAGCAACTTTCAACATGGTTAGCATTAAGTTCTCTATTTAATTAAAACCAAGACTATTTATTAGATCCGTGAAAAGATAAAAGAAAATTGTTCCTTTTTTGTCAATTCATTTCTTGCTTGTATTTTCTCTCACTACTATAAACTTAACACTCATCTTTCAACCAAGCTTCACTGGCCATACTGTATCCATTAATGGCTTCCTTTTCTCCTAAGTCAAGTAGGTTTATATTTGTGTTATTCTCCATTTTGGTTGGCTCTTTTGTGGTTGCTTCTTCTGGTAACTTCTACCAAGAATTTGATATAACTTGGGGACAAGGTAGAGGAAAGATCCTAAACAATGGTCAGCTTCTTTCTCTTTCTCTTGATAAAACTTCAGGCTCTGGCTTTCAATCAAAGAAAATGTATCTTTTTGGCAAGATTGATATGCAACTCAAGCTAGTTCCTGGCAACTCTGCTGGCACTGTCACTGCCTATTATGTAAGTTCTCCAATATTTTTAATTTGCATAAATATTCAATTCTATATGTTCTTTTATCCATAAAATGTAATTTTATTTTATTTTTTTAAATTGTTTATTGAAAATTTAAAATAACTTTTGTCCATCTTTTCGAAATTTATTTTTCTGTACATAAGTATTATATTGATTTAATTTATATATTCATAGTAGGCAAGATTAACATGTCTCACCAAAAAGTGGCTTATCAAATAGGCAATTTATATCAACAATGTGTTGATTTGCTGCATTAAGGTGAAAATAAAAATTAAAATTCAGTAATAAAAGTGCATTTATTAAAAAGATTAAAATTTTTTACGACTTACAGTTCGAAAAAAGATTCTTGGATACTAAAAAGTGAAAAGATATATCTAAATTCTAAAAAAAAAAGTAATTTTTGAATTTCTCAAATTCAAAATATTCAAAATATAAATATTTAATATTTAATATATCTAGATTCTTCAAGGTATATCTATATTACTAGCTAGCTACTTAATTTAATTGTGTTATTTCAGATGAAATCACCAGGATTTACATGGGATGAAATAGACTTTGAGTTCCTGGGAAACTTGAGTGGTCAACCTTACACACTTCATACCAATGTGTATAGCCAAGGCAGGGGTGAGAGAGAGCAACAATTCCACCTTTGGTTTGACCCAACAGCACATTTTCACACCTATTCTATTCTTTGGAATCCTCAGCACATTTTGTAAGTATTAATTAGTCATTTCTTTTTTTTTTAATTCCATTTTAAGTTTTCATTTATTTATTTTTATATTCATTGAGAGATTTAATGAGCCGTCAACACTGCATGCTACATAACATGAATAACTCTCTCATTTGAATTCACTAAATTAATAAAAATATTTATGGTCAAGAGGATTTGAAATCAAGGTTCGAACTCCTGGAACTCTTCGAGGGGACTGCATTAGATAGACTCATTTTGAGTTTTTTAAAAAATTTACTTTTTTCCAAAGTGATTCTGATTGATTTTTAGTTAGTTTTAAACTAGTTTTTAGTCCATCTCTTAAAAAAGCCAAGGCCTAAGAAAAGAACAATTTCTGAGAGCAGCTATATTGTTTCGTTGAGCACGGCTGTAGCACTTGGAGACAATTTTGTCCCACGTGTGCGATGTTTCACCCTCAGCCATAGCCATGTCGCCAAAATGTACAACCAGGCGAAGCAAGCACCATGTTTTGGTTCTCGCCATGTGTCCACACAGATCCTAGGATACTTGACTTCGTTTCGGTTCAAATCAATTGAATTAGTATTGATTGAATAAATTAAATTTTTATATAAAAAAATTATAATTTAATCGAATTAATTTAATTTAATTTAGGATGTTATTTTATTTTAAATTTAAAATTAAAATTAAAATTTCAAATACCAAATATCCTCACCAGATAGCTTTGCATTTTAATTTAAAAAAAATAAATAAATTTTAACTATTGATTTTAATTCTTGAATTAGGTTCTTGGTAGATGGAACTCCCATAAGAGAATTCAAGAACATGGAATCAAACGGTGTTCCTTACCCAAAAAAGCAGCCAATGAGGATATACTCTAGCCTGTGGAATGCAGATGATTGGGCCACAAGAGGTGGTCTTATAAAGACAGATTGGAGTAAAGCTCCTTTCAGTGCCTCTTACAGAAACTTCAATGCTCAGCCTTCGCTAAACCAGCAACTGGATGCGACTATACAACAGAAGCTCAAATGGGTGCACCAAAATTACATGATTTACAATTATTGCACTGACACTAAGCGATTCCCTCATGGCTTCCCTCCAGAATGTTATCATTAGCTAATAGTGTAATTAATTATTCCTAAATATAACAATTATTGTAAGATAGAAGGTATATGTGTATGTGTCATGTTCATATGGGTAAGTATGTATATAAACATTCCACATGTAATAATATAATGTTGTTTTTTTCATAGATGGAAAATATTTGTAGATAAATTTTAAAAATACGATGATGTTATAAGTTAGTTTGTCAATATTAATGTTAATTTTAAATATTTTATATTAAAAAAAATTTGAAAAAAAATTGGAATTTCCATTATTAGCAAAATTTGGAAAAATATATACGCGCCAGATAGGGGTCGAACCTATGACTTTCTGCTTAGGAAACAGACGCTCTATCCACTGAGCTACAGGCGCTTCGTTGATTTGTTAATATAACAATCATAATTGTACTGCCATATTATTTGATTCCCTCAGATTTTATACATCGTTTGTTTTGTACGTTAATTTAAAATAAATGTATTGTGTTGTTATTTTCATTTTAAAATGTTATTGAATAATTTTATATCTTAAATATTTAACATATAAATAAATAAATATATAAAATAAAATATTTTAATTAGCAAATGACTTTTATTGTGAAATTTTGTAACTTAATTTCATTTCATTTACAAATTCTCCTTTTTTTTTTTTTTTTTTCCTTTCATTTCAATTAATATTATAACCTCACTTTCCTGCTTTTTTCTTTAACCTAACAGTGCATGTATTCCATCTTACTTATGCTTAGTCTAAAATCCTTACCCTCTATAGTTTCAACTCTCAGTTTACTCCCTCACTAGCTTCACTAATTAGGACAATATCATTTGAATAATGTGCACTAAACAACATCCTCTTGAACACTATTGGTTAGCTCATACATCACTAGATAAATAAGTATGGACTCAAAAGCAAATCCTTGATGTAGCCCATCTGTTACAGAAAACTCCTCTACACCGTGATTTTCTCACACCGGTTATTGTATGGATGATGCTTATATATTTCGCAGGAACTCCTTTTTTTAGCTAATATCTATTAGAGTATTCCCTTCAATACTCTGTCATAAGCTTTCTCTAGGTTAATAAACACTATGCATAGATCCATTTTCTTTTTTCTATCACTCTTTTTAGAAGGAAAAATGTTGTTGTTGTTGTTGTAGGTCTACCATGTATAAAATCATATTGATTTTTTCAACACCTTTGTAATGTCCCTTAGCCTATGTTTTATTATACTTTCCCAGAACTTAATCGTGTGACTTATAAGTTTAATATCATTATACACCTTTAGATAAAAAAACGCTAATTAGCAACTGACGCATATGTCACTAATTTTATATATTTCATTGCTAATTAGTGACTGACTTTTTGTTATTATTATTTGAATGGATAAGTTAGAGGTTGAATGAGTTGTCATTAAACTTAGACATGTAAATTAGTTTGGAATTCCAATCCAAAATCTTTCTTTCCAAACTAAATTTTATGTTGGAATGCATTTTTTAAAAACTGTTATATGGAATATAGAAAGTAACATACTAGAAAATTCTATATTCTAATTCTTATGCTGAAATTTTATTCATTCTTTTTAGTTTTTAATTATATATTTGAATAATAAAATATTAAATTACAAAAAATATTAAATTAAATATTTGAATAAAGTATTTTAAAATTTAGTATTTAAAAAACTTCCGTTTAATTGTAAGCAACCTAGTTTAATGAAAATTTTAATCTTAATTAGTAATTAATATTGGCCTAACAAACTCTATACATAAATTAAAAAACTAAAGTTGGCTTCATAGAGTCATAATTTATATGCTCTTAAGTTGAAGTCATCTAGCAATCAAGAAAAGGTATTGTCCTTATCTTTCATTGTGCTTGACAAGAAAGTTTCCTTTTTAATACCCCACTCTATTGGACTAATTTTCGCTCGTCTTCGGGGCAAAGAGTCCGGCTTGGGGAAATTTGCATTGTTGAGGATTGAACCTATAACTTAAGTTATAATGATCAACCATGTAAGTGCTCGAACCTATAATCTAAGCTATAAAATCAACCCCATAAATGCTATTTGCCACTGAACTACCTCATTCGAATTTTTTAAATGAACATATTAATTATTCTTTATTAAATTTTAAATTTATATCTTAAAATATATCACAATATAGATTATATTTGTACTTATAGCCAAAAAATTTAAAATTACTAAATTCTAGGCCGAATTTTCATAGAATAGTATAAAATGCTATATTAAATTTTAAAACCCATTTAGAACCGAATGTAATGAAATTTCAAAGTATAAATTATTTCGGAATGAAATTAAAATAAGAGTCATTTCATTCCATACTGATTGAATAATACTCATGAATTTAGACTAAAATAAACAGTTGTTAACTAAGGCACAACCAATTATTTGAACATGTTATATGGTAAATATTTGTCTATATCTATACTATATATAAATGTGAAAATTGGGGGAAATAATAGGATTTCTGATATTGCCCTCAATGAAATTTAGAATATTTTAAAATAGTGTTAGTCATAGCCAATTCGAAAATTACGTTTTGTACGAATGAGTGTTTGGATGAGTAGTTTAACACTCTTCTTCCTTAAGTGAGGTTGAGAGTTCAAACCTTATGGATGAAGCAAATACTCATTAGGAGCACTTTATCTCTTCTTGATCCTACCTAATGCGAGCAGTATTTAGTTATAGCCCAGTGGGCTCAGATACCTGTGGTTAAAAAGAAAAATTACATTTTTGATTGGATATGATTTCTAAAAATTATTTTTTAAATGAATATATATATATATATAATAAAAAAGAAAAAAAAGTATATTCTTCTTTATTATAAAAAAAGAAAAAAAGTATATTCTTCTTTTTTTTCTATTGGTTGTAGGAAAATTGTGGTTTAATTTGGAGAATGATATATCGTTTCTTTTATGTGATCTTTTTTTTATTCATATTAATTAATTTATTTATTTTCTTAAAAAAGAAAAAAAAGTATATTCTTCTTTTTTTTCTATGGTTGTAGGAAAAATTGTGGGTTTATTTGGAGATGATATATCGTTTCTTTTATGTGATCTTTTTTTTTATTACTTAATTAACTTATTTATTTATTTTTAAATTTGCGACTTAGAACAATAGAGAAATAAAACATTTGAATAAACTCAAATTCATATTCAAATACTTGATTTGCTTTGTAATATTGTTTATTGACTTGATTTTTTTTCCATCAAATTTAAATTTAATTAAATTATAGCATTTTCAAAGTTATTTTTGAAATTCAAATTAGTAATTCTTTTAATATAATTTATTTCTTATTACATGTTGAATTCTTAAAAGAGTTTTATTCTTAATAAAAATTTATTTATTATTTTCTTTTTCGTTATTGAATTAATTTGTAACTACTATCACTTTAATTTAATTTAGTAAAAGATTTATATCTCCCTTGCAATAAATAGATGGCCTCGTGATTAAGCATTTTTAATTTTCTTGATATTTTTTCTTTTATATCCTAAATATGTTTGACTTGAAAGAAAATAATGTTTATGAATTAAAAAAACTAGAACTATATCTTTCTGTTTTGAGTCATTTTTTAGATTTCAAGAGTTTGTGTGTATGTTCATATATTCCTTTCTTTAATGCACTTGGTAAGTAATTCTTTCACTATAGCCAAAATAATTATCATCTTCTCATTTCTTTTATTTTATCTACCAGTAAAAGAATTATTATTATTTTCCATTAAATCTGTATATAGATATTGATTTAGGATTGAGGGCAAGGTTTGGGTATTGTGTGATAACTTGATTTTCTTTTTGAGCACCTATTAGTATTTTAAGAATATGTATTTATAAATTAGGGACTAAAAGATTATGTATAAGGATTAAATTGAACTTTATTTTGAAACCATTTCATTATATAAAAATAGAATCAAACACATAAGAAATAACATTACAAGTAGCTTATATGGTAACGTCTAATACAAATTAACTAATTATATTTATTTTAATTTCAACAAAACTTATATTTTAATATTATATAAATAAAAAATTAAAAAGTATAAAAAAAATAAAAATATAATGAGAATTTGACAACGGCAGCACGTGATTAAAAATGACTAATTAGTATATATATATATATATATATATATATATATATACTAATATATAATTTTATATATAATTTTTTTAAAAAATTCAATTGGGAGTGAATCCAATAATGACTAGGTGGCTGCGGTGCATTTCATGAACTATTGATTTTTTTTTTTTTTTTAAGCATTGAGGCGATTTGAATTTGACTTGTCAAGTCATACGTCCATTTGTTATTAGATGAAACTTGAAGATGAATCAACAATAAATGAGAGAAGAATAAAATAATCTTAAAATGTAATCAAAAATAAATAAATTGTGTGTTGGAAAGGTAAAAATAGCTGGGTTTTGTGTTGACATATTTTTATTGTTGTACATGTTCAGTAATAAGCTACTTTTAGAAAATAATCTAAAGGAAATTGTTAGATAACATGAATCTATTTAGCAATTCCTTATAAATATATATATATATATATACTGATGTAGATATCTACATTAGGTGGCTATTCAAATATAAGCAAATAAAGAAAAATCCGTAAATTTATAAAATAAAATAAATACTAAATAAAAGAAATAGCCATTAATGGAGAAGAAAAAGAAGAAACAGCAAACTTTTTCAGAAATACATGTAGATAAGATATATACAGTAAGTAGTGCAATCAAAATATAGACACATAAACAATGCAAAAATTCACAAAAAAAAAAAAAAAACAAAGGGGTTCTTTTTTTTTTTGCCATTTTAACTGTCTTTTATTTCCAAAATTTAACACCACACACCACACACACACACAACATAGTATATATATATATATATATATATATATATATATTAATAAATTAAAAAACCAATAATGAAAATTTAAGAGATTATTAGATAAATTCTTACATAAATTTTTTTTTTATTAAATAAACATTACAGTGAATTGGCATGATTTATAATTTACTAAACTTAGTTTGACATATGAATTCATCTATATACCAAAAACTATATTTTAAAAAGAAATTAATTATTCTTTTAGTATGTGAGTGAGTCGATTCACTCATCGGCGAAAAGTATTTTCATGATTGATAACCGAGT